AGCAAGCCCATCGTGCAAGTACCACCAATCCCATCATGCAAGTACCACCAATCCCATCATGCACCTCCCCATGAAAAGCAACAAGACTGCAGCTCCCATCAACCCCTTCATGAAACTCCCACCAAACCCACTGTGCAAGTACCATCAATCCCATCATGCACCCCCCCCATGAACAGCGACAGGACTACAGCTCCCATCTGCCACTCCGGACAGGGAAATGGGCAGCCCAGGCGCAGAATAATAAATCAACCGAGGAGCAAAGCGAGCCCAACGCCCCAGGGAAGCGCCTCCTCCTCCTCCGGGGGGGGTGGGGGAGGGAAGAAGAGGGCCTTGAGGACTCACCGCCACTGGCTTTCTTCCGCCCGTGGCCCAGCCACAGCCCCACGTGCTCGTCGTCCAGCAGGGAGAAGCTCAGCACCACCGTCAGCAGGTTGAAAAAATTGTAGTTGCCGGTGAGGATGATGAGGGCTTGCAGAAGGACCTGCCGGAGGGGGAGAAGGCCTCGCCTTAACGACCACCACGGAGGCCCCAGGGCCGGTCGCTAAGCCAGACCATCGTACAATACGAACGTCGCGCACCATTGCACGGCCTGCCTCACACAGCCGTCGTTAAGGGAAGTGCTGCAGCTCAGTTGGGACGAGGGTTTTGCAGTGTTTCCCCCCCCCCAATCCCCCCCCCCACTTACGACCGTCTGACCAGCCAGGTTCACTTTAACGACCGGGAGACTCGTTGAAGGACAGCAGGGATTCGCTGAGCGAATTTGGAGCAAAACTCACTTAAGGGATTTCTTCACTTAAAGGACATACATTTTGCACCCAGTTCAGGTCGTAAGTTGAGGTCGGTCTGCCCCCGACCGTGCCGATGATCCGGATTCTCCCCCTTGAGTTTGGCTGCGAACCTTTCCACCCCTTCTCCTTGGGGTGGGGTGGGGGGGGGGCATTTGGACCCTGGCTGGCGCTCGGCCCCGGTTTCTCCCCCCCCCTCCCCTCGGTAGTTGCCGGGCTAACCTTCCCAGCGCCCGGCCGTACCTGGGCGTAGAAGGCGAAGAGGCGAAGGCGCTGCAGCGGCACGAAGAAGAGAGGTGGGATGGCGATCTCGATGACGTAGGTGGCCACCACGCTCAGTTTGTGGAACCAGATGGGCATCTGGTGGGCAAACCAGGCGCTGGGCGTGGGGATGCACTGGGTCTCGTAGTGATAGGTCAAGGCTGGGGAGGGGAGGAGAGGGAGGGAGAGGGGAAGGAAAGAGAGGAGAGAGAGGAGGAGGAGGAGGAGGAGAGGGAAGAGAAGGGAGGAGAGAGGAGAGAGAAGGAAAGAGAAAAAGAGGAGGAGGAGGAGGAGAGAGGAGGAGAAAGAAAGAGGGAAGGAGAAAGTGGGAGAGAGAAAGGGAGGGAGAAGGAGAAAGGAAGAGGAGAGGAGAGAAAGGAGAGAGAGAGGGAGAGAAGGTGAAAGAGAGAGAGGGAGAGAGGAGAGGAGAGAAAGAGAAGGAGAGAGGGGGAGAGAACAAGAGAGAAGTAGAAAGTGGGAGAGAGGGGGAGAGAGAAGGAAAAAGGAGAAGAGAATATAGGAGGAGAGAGAAGGAGAGGAGAGGGAAAGTGAAAGAGAGAGAGAAGGTGGAAATATAATCACTCCTTGACTGACCGATGCAAAACAGCCCCAAATGTTTATTGCTAACCAAATCTCTCCTTAAGCAAGTCATGAGGGGTGGGAATATAGCTAGTGCTTCACTTGTGACCATAGTCGAGCGAAGCGAGGACATTGGTCAAGTGAGTTTTTGCCCCATATTACGACCATTTTGCCCCAGCTGTTAAGCTAATCACTGGAGGTCATCTAGTCCAACCCCCTGCCTAGGCAGGAGACCCTACACCACTTCAGACTAATGGGTATCCAACATCTTCTTAAAAACCTCCAGTGTGGGAGCATTCACAACTTCTAGTGGCAAGCAGTTCCACTGGTTAATTGTTCTCCCTGTCAGGAAATTCCTCCTTAGTTCTAAGTTGCTTCTCTCCTTGATGAGTTTCCATCCATTGCTTCTTGTCCTGCCTTCAGGGGCTTTGGAGAATAGCTGGACTCCCTCTTCTTTGGGGCAGCCCCTCAAATACTGGAAGGCCGCTCTCCTGTCTCCCCTGGTCCTTCTCTTCCCTAGACCAGCCAGGCCCGGTTCCTGCAACCGTTCATCGTATGTTTCAGCCTCCAGTCCCCTAATCCTCCTGGTTGCTCTTCTCTTCGCTCTTTCTAGAGTCTCAACAACATCTTTTTTATGATAGGGTAACCAACACTGCATGCAAATATTCCATGTGTGGCCTTTGCAATGCATTACAAAAACGGTATTAACACTTCACACATGATTTTGATCCCAGGGGCCTGTTTATACAACCAAGGGTTGTGTTGGCTTTTTTGGCTGTTCACGTTTAAGGGGCTGTCCACCGGGATGCCAAGATCCCCTCTCACAATTACTACTATATGAGCCACGGTGGCGCAGTGGTCAGAGTGCGGTACTGCAGGCTCCTTCTGCTGACTGCCAGCTGCGTGGAGTTTGGCCGATCGAATCTCACCAGCTCCAGGTTGACTCGGCCTTCCCTCCTTCCCAGGTGGGCCAAATGGGGACCCAGATTGTTGGGGGCAAGAGGCTGATTCTGTTTCCCGCCTGAGCAGGGGGTTGGACTAGAAGACCTCCAAGGTCCCTTCCAGTTCTATTCCTATTCTATTTTCAATTCTATTCTGTTCTGTTCTATTCATATATTCTGTACTATATTCTATATTTTCTATTCAATTCTTTTAAATTCCATTCTATTCTGCTCTGTTCATCTATTTTGTTTTGTTTTGTTTCTCTTCTCTCCTACCATTCTTTCTATCATCTCTCCTTCCTTCTCTTCTCCTTCCCTTCTTCTTCCTTCCATTTCCCCTCCTCTTCTCTCTTCTCTTCACTCCTTTCTTCTTTTCCTCTCCTCTCCAAGTCAATGCAACTAAGCCCTCTGTTAGGAATAACAAGGTTACCTAACGTAGTTTGGGTAAAATAATATATATAAACTATGATAGTAAGTTTAAGTGTGTGTCACTTTAAATTGCAAAGCATGTAATTTTGGGTGCGGTTGTAAAACCGCCATAAGAGGGAGCAAGAGAACCTGCTGGATTGCTGACTATGCTGGATTGATGGTTTGCTAACTGCGTGTTCCCTGCTGCTGAGTTTTTGAACGTCGAAGGAAGAAAGGAGGTTTGACTTCTTTATATCTCTACTGCGAGGAGATATATTACTGGACTGATATTTGTAAGTTTACTAACCTCTTTTTCGACACTGGACTTTGCAACTGAATAATCCCCGAACGGACTGAACTACTGAATGATATATGGACTGTTTGACTATGCTAAAAATCTTACTGGAATAAACTATTTAACTAGCACAGTGTATCTGTTTTACTGAGTGTAAGCTACAAAAACGTTTATCTCACATATTTGCCTGCCTGCCTGACTGCCGTGCAAATTCTGCTAGGGTGTATCCCTAACACCCTCTCTTCTCTCCTCTCCTTCCATCTCTGATTCCTTCTCTTCCCTTCTCCTGTAAACCGCCTAAAGAGAGCCGTCAAGTGGCCTATCGGTCTGAATGCCACTACCCCCCTCCTGTTGGGTTTCTGTGCCGTCCGACTCACCTGTGAGCCCCCACCAGGTGGGGCAGCGGCTGGTCAGCTTCACCACCCCGGAGGCGAACATCAGCCGGAAGAGCAGCCATCGCACCAGCCAGAAGGTCACCCCGTCATGTGCCCTCCAGGCGGAGGAGGGACCCCGGAGCAGGTGCAGGGGGGCCACCAGCACGGCCAGGAAGCCCGTCTCCAGCAAAAGGCTGTCCCTGGGGGAGGAAGGGGGGGGTCAAGGGAGCATGGCTAGGGCGCCCCTCCCCCTGCCCAGGCTCCAAGGGGGCCCCACTCCCCAGGGCCTGGAAACCACAATCAGTCCTTGATTCATGACCACCATTTGGGCCCAACGTTTCCCTGGCTGAGCGGGTCGGGGGGGGGGGGGGTTCAGTGGGATTGGCTGCCCACCCGTTTTATGACCGTTCTTGCCACAGCTGTTAAGTGAATCACTGCAAGGGCTTAAGTCAGTGTCAATGAGAATAGAGAGGGGAAGGGGCCGTGTAGGCAGGAGACCCTGTGCCATTCCAGACAGGGGGTGTCCAGTCTCTTCTTAGAAACCCCCACAACTTCAGGAGCTGTTCCATCTACCCATTTTTTTTGGTTTGTTTGTATATCTTCTCTCTCTCTCTCTCTCTCTCTCTCTCTCTCTCTGTATGTATGTATGTATGTATGTATGTATGTAAAGAAAGAAACAGACGTCCTGCGATCTCCGGAACTAAAATTACATTTACTTACTAAGCTTTTGTCAGCCTCTGCTGACATTATCCAAATACCGACGAAAGCTCACTAAGTAAATATAATTTTAGTTCCGAAGATTGCAAGATGTATGTTTCTTCTTTTACAAGTATATCCGGAACTTGTATTTTTAGAATAGTTTGTAATATATATATATTCTTACCGTTCTTGCTTTTCATCAGCTGTCAAAACTTTGCTGCAAGGGTTTTAAAACCATCCTGTCTTTTTTCTTTCTTTATACATTTTTCTTTAAACATATTATACCTATTTAGCAAACAGTGTATTGTCTGGGTCATTTCACATATACGTAATAGTAGTAGGAGTATTCTTTACTTGTACATAATAGCATTCTTCCAATTTCTAATTTCTACCTTTGTGATCTAACCATGGATAAAACAAATTCCAAGTTAAAAAAAATATTCTGTGTCTTCTTTGTCCTTTATTTTTAATGTTGACCTATCCATTTCCGCAGTCTAATATTGCCTGTCTGTCTATCATCCATCCATCCATATCTATCTATCTATCTATCTATCTATCTATCTATCTATCTATCTGTCTGTCTGTCTGTCTGTCTGTCTGTCTGTCTGTCTGTCCCCTCTCTAGATCTATCCCCTCTACCTACCTACCTATATCTATTCCCTCTGTCTGTCTGTCTGTCTATCTATCTATCCCCTCTCTATATCTATTCCCTCTACCTACCTACCTAGCTACCTATATCTATTCCCTCTGTCTGTCTGTCTGTCCCTTCTCTCTATCTATCTATCTATCTATCTATCTATCTATCTATCTATCTATCTATCTATCATCTATCTATGTATCTATCTATCTATCTATCTATCTATCTATCTATCTATCTATCATCTATCCATCCATCCATCCATCCATCCATCTATCATATGTATCTTATCTGTCTCACAGAATCATAAGAAACCTAGGGCTGGAAGGGACCTTGGAGGTCTTCTAGTCCAGCCCCCTCCTCAAGCAGGAGACCCTCTACCATTCCAAACAGGTGACGGTCCGGTCTCTTCTTAAAAGCCTCCAGTGATGGAGAACCCACAACTTCTAGTGGCAAGGAGTTCCACGGGTTAATTTGCCCTCCCTGTTAGGGAGTTTCTCCTTCGTTCCAGGTTGCTTCTCTCCTTGATGAGTTTCCGTCCTTTGCTTCTTCTCCTGCCTTCAGGGGCTTTGGAGAATAGGTGGAAACCCACCCCCTCCCTTTCTTCTTTGGGGGCAGCCCCTCAAATGCTGGAAGGCTGCTATCATGTCCTCACCACCCTCCCAGTCCTTCTTTACTCTAGACTGGCAAAGCCCGGTTCTTCCCATCTTTCTTTGATCATCTTAGTTCCTTCCTCTTCTTCACACTTTTTCCAAAGTCTCCACATCTTTTTTCTTTCTTTTTTTTTGTAACGTGGTGGATGCAGGATTCCAGTTGTGGCCTTACTAAGCCTTTACAAAGCGCTACTTGACCCTTCGCGAGATTTGGAGTCCTTGATTTACAACAGCCCATGAAGGGACGCTGAAAAAAAGTGACCCCCTGGCTGTCTTTCACGCTTATGACCGATGCTAATTTGACAAGTGCCGTGATCCACTTAACAACGGTGGCAAGAAAAGGGTTGTAGAACAAGACAAAAACCCACTGAACAAATGTCTCACTCAGCGACAAGAAGCTTTGGGCTCAATTAGGGTCGTAAGGTGAGCCCTACCTGTTAGAAGCCCAGGGCCACTTACCACTGGAAGTAGAGGAACACCTGTCCCACCTGCAGAGAGAAAACCAAGGAAGAAAAATCAAATGAGAAACTGGACTGGCTCATCAGGTGCCTTTTACCTGACTTCAGACTGGTTTTCCTAATGTAAAACATGGATATCCCACCTGCTCAATCTACCTGCAAAGGTCTCTATCCTCCACCCAGCCATTAACTAGCCCACGAACCCAACTACCCTGTTTCCCGGAAGATACGACCTACCCTGAAAGTAAGTCCTAGCTTGATTTTTTACACGTGCGCCCAATATAAGCCCTACCTCCCAAAATAAGCCCTAATTAAGATCCCACCCACTCCAGGGTGGACGGGTAAAAATTAAGGTAGGGTGGATGGGAGGATGGAGCTGCCCTACTACTTCCCTTTAGAGAGTTGTAACCAGGCCTCGCACACCCTGCGACACCTGCCTTGCCGGCCCATTTCTTCTGCAGCCGGCAAGGCTGGCCAGGCTCTCCTGAAGGCCTCTGGAGCTGAGAACAAAGCTCTGGATCGATCCTGAAGGCTGCAGAGGCCTTCGGGAAAGCCTTGCCGGCTGTAGAAGAAGTTCCTGAAGGCCTCAGACAGCCAAAAGGAAGTCGGGGGCGACGCACGCAAGTGAGGTTAGTCAGTGGATGATTTCCCCTGAAAATAAGACCTGGTGCCTTTTTTTGGTGGCAAAAAAATATATATCAGACAGGTCTTATTTTCAGGGAAACACGGGAACTCTTAACTAACCCCAGTGCAACACTTCCTCTCTCACTCCAGTTTGTCCACCCTGATTGGCTAGGAATTTGGAAATGGGCTACTCTGAGACGAGAACATTTTTTCCCCACACAATATCCCTGTAAGGTAGGCTGGGCCAAGCATGCCTGATGGCTTCCATGGACCTCCTAGGAAGAAGGTACAGCTTAAACTCAGGTTGTAGTGCAACATTTCCACTCCACCCCACAGTGGTGACTCCTATTGGCTGGGAATTTGGGAAGGAGCTTGCTGGGGCCTCAAAGATGGATTAAAAAATTTATGGGGACCTGGTTCAAATAACGTTAGAGGAGCGTTTTTCAAACTTGGCCATTTGAAAATGTGTGGACTTCAACTCCCAGAATTCCCCAGTTAGCACCTTATAAAGTAAGGACTTCAACTCCCAGAATTCCTT